GAAGGTCATTAGAAAGAAAGCAAAGCTCAAAGTGGATGTCAGAAGAAACTCTGAAACTTGTTCTTAATTATAAGAATACAGAGTCACTATATAAAAAATAACTAGTCAAAATTATACCGTTTCAGGATGTAGCACAGGATCAATGGCCAATGGCACTGAAGGAAGAGGTTCAAGATACACTGAAAGCATGAGCCAAAGAAAAGGCTCCCAAGATTGATGGGATACCACACTGATGAAGTACTCACTCGTTATGTCAGGAAATTTGGAAGACTGCTACTTAGCCAATTGAATAGAGGAGATCCATGCTTGTACCTCTTCAAAAGAAAGATAACCCAACATGATGTGCAAATTATGGGACAATATTATTGATACCACATACATGTAAAATTTTGCTGAATATCATCCATCTATGGTTGCAACAAAACATTGGTAGGGAGCCAGACTAAAAAGAGGATATGGAACAAAGTATATCATTGCTGATGTCAGATAGATTTTGCTGAAAGCAGAGACTACCAGAAAGATGTTTACTTAGGTTTCACTGACTATGCTAAGACATTCAATGGTGTGGACCATAATAAACTATGGATAACCTTGGGAAATTCCAGAGCAATCCATTGTGCTCATGCAGAACCTATGCATGGAATAAAGAACAGTTGTATGAACAGAACAAGGAAATACTGAGTGGTTTAAAGTTAAGGAAGGTGTATCAGGATTATATCCTCTCCCCATACTTATTCAATCTCTATACTGAACAAACAGGGACGCTGAATTCTGTGAAGAAAATCGCAGTATCAGGATTGGAGGAAAGCTCATTGACAGGTGGTGATACCACATGGCAGATGGCAAAATCTTGCTTGCTGAAAGTGAGGAAGACTTGAATCACTTGCTAATGAAGATCAAGGATTGTATCCGTCAGTGTGGATTACAGCTCAAAGTAAAAAAGACCAAAATTCCGAAACTGGACCAATAGGTAACACCACGATAAATGGGGGGGAAAATGAAGTTGTCAAGGATTTCATCTTACTTGCATTCACAAGCGATGCTCATGGAAACAGCAATCAAGAGATCAAAGGATGCAGTGCATTGGGTATATCTGCTGCAAATGACCTATTTAAAGTGCTGAAAAGCAAGGGTGTTACTTTGAGGATTAAGGTGGTATTTTCAATTGCCTCCTGTACATGTGAAGTTGGACATTGAATTAGGAAGACCAAAGAAAAATTGATGCATGTGAACTAGGGTGTTAGCGAAGAATATTAAGTAACATAAATTGCCTAAGGAACAAACAGATTTATCTTGGAAGGATTATAGCCAGAATGGTCCTTAGGGGCGAGGATGGTGAGACTCACCTCATGTACTTTGGACATTTTGTGAGGAGAGAGCAGTTCCCGATGACATCATACTTGGGAAAGGAGAAGGGCAGCGCAAAAGAGGAAGGCATTTGAGGAATTAGATTGACAGAGTGGCTGTAACAATGGACTTCAACATAATTATGAGCATGATGCGGTTCTGGGTGGTGGGGTTTTTTTCTTTCGGTTTTCCATAGAGTCACTACGAGTTGGAACTGACTAGATGACACGTAGCAGCAGCAACAACAACAACAATAACATTAAATAAGAGTGATGCTAATGGGCAGCACTTTCTGGTTCCATTTGAAATGGGAAGGTTTTCAATGTCTGTCCCTTCAGTGGGACGTTGGCCGCTGGTTTCAGGTATATTGCCTTTCATGTTGAGGCATTTTCCTCCTACTCCTCGTTTCCTGAGTGTTTTTTAATCAAGGATGGATGTTGAATGTTATCAAATGTCTTTTTCAGCATTGATAGACATAGTTATATGATTCTTTTTCTTAGTTTTTTTATGTGGTGGATTGCACTGATTATTAGTTAGCCATTCTTGCATGCCTGGTATGAATCCCACTTAACCCTGATGTATTATTTGTTTGATGCTTTGTTGAATTTTTTTACCTAGAATTTTGTTCACAGTATTGGTGCCCATATTCATCAGGGATAGTGGTCTAGAACTTTCAATTTTCATGATGTCTCCTGGATTAGGTACCAAGGTTGTACTTGCATCATAAAAAGATCCTGGTATTATATTGTCTATTTCTATATTGTGAATTAGTTCAGAAGGAAGTTTGATATAATTACCAGTTAATAGTTATTCTTTGTGGCTCCCAGAAAACATCACATAAGCAAATTCTTGTTAATTTATTAAAACTTATTTCCACACCATATCATTTTCTGAACTATATGTTCTTAGATACAGTCTTAGTCGAATTTAAAATTGGCACTTCCGCAGCTCAAGGAAGCATTTTATTAGTGTCCTTGGTTAATATAAACAACTTTTATTCTAGGCACATTTAATGTTTTTATTCTTGATTTTGTCCTTGGTTGGGTGATCCATGAAATGATTTTTTATATCATTTTATAATTATGGGATTACTGAATTTTTACACAGATTTTATAGGAGTACCAGTCGTAGCCCCATTCCTTTACAGCACACTATGATATCTTCCTATCTCCAACTTTTTAAAAGCTTTTTCTTATTCTCCTGACACTAGGTCTCTAAAATGTCAATTCTGCATAGAATCTCATTTACAATATTGCCAAATAACTCCTGAAATTTTCTTTACTTTGTTTATGAGGCCTTCGGGACAGCAGAGCATAATGTGGTTTCATGTTGTGATCCTTTCTTACTAATGTTCATCTTATATTTACTTATAAAATATGTATTGCATGCACACTAGGCCATCATGGGGAAGTAAAGTGAATTAGTCTGTGCTTTCAAGGGTACAGAGGGGCAGCAAAAAATGAGGAAGACCTTCAATAAGACAGATTGACACCATAGTTCCAACAATGGTGTCAATCATAAGAACAATTGTGAAGATGACGCCAAACCAGAGAGTAGTGTGTGCGATTGAACATAGTTGCTATGAGTAGTAACTGGCACCATGGCACCTACCAACATCAACAGGAGAATGGCTGCAAAGAATCCCGATATACAACATAGTTATCACTGAGAGCAGAATGAAGACGATGAAGCAAAATAGAAGAGAAAGGGCAAATATTGCCAACGGGACTTCATGGAAGAGACAGAACTTACATATTTTGATAGGTATAATAGGTGGAATGGACAGAGAATATCTTGAGACAAAGCCTGGAGCATGAGCTGCAATGGATGTGCCGAGCACAGAGGAACAATTATATTGTAGGAAGTCCAGTCTTAAAGAAGCACATCATGAGATACACTACAATCAAGAAGACATACAAAGCACTGGGGTTAGGATACAAAGAACCTGGAAGACCAAGTTAGAGATTTGGACTTCTGTGGCAGACAGTAGTGAAAAAGGAGTGATATTTAGAGATGTGCATTTTATTGCTGATGAAAATAACAGTCAGTTTTTGTGGGCCTTCTCTGTGTCAGTCATTGAACTAGATGTTTTATATTTACCCCGTACAACAATGCTCATGTAATACATGCTATTACTCCCATTTTATAGATGAAGAATATGGAACTCTAAAAGGGAGATAAAATTGGCAACGTTGTAAAGGATTAAAAGGGCTAAGACCTGAATTCAAACTATTATCAGAGAATCAATCTAGCTGATTGAACATACACTTTTGTCCTTGCATTTCATTTTAACATCCTAAAATTGACCAAAATAACGCATTAAAAAAATCACAATCATGCACGTAAATTGGATCATCCTCGATGAGGAATCCTGAAAGGAAAAGACAGTAATCATTTCAAGGAAGAAAAGAACTACAGTTTGCTATACAAGATGGGAGCTCAGGTGATGACCCTGACCCGGAGATCTGGATCCCAGCAGGAGACTGGAGAGAAGGAGGGTGGCAGGGGCAAATGGAGGAAGGAGGAACAGGAAGGAAATGCCTGAATGACTGATTAAGGTGTTTCCTTTGGAGTCATCAGGGGCCAGCAAGCACCATTTGCCATTGCCCTATGGGACAGGCAGTAATAGCATTCTACCATAAACATGAGTAGTGACTACAGGCCCTTGAGTCAGGAGTTTGTCAACTCTCAGGAGGTACAATAGTTTCTTGTCCAGAATAGTTGCTGTCACATCCCACTGATAAAATATCCAAATCCCTTCCCACAGTCCTCAGCTGTGAACATTTAACATTCACAGAGACTCATAGAGGGTCTCAAAAAGATTGGTGTATAATCCAAAATTACCAAAGATTTAAAGACAACAACTCCACTAAAACAAAGAAGGAACCACACATTTTAGTATCTACCACATCATTTTCTTGTATTTAATATTTTTCTACTTTGTGCTTTAATTTTATATGGTTATGCTAAATTACAAATTCTAAAGCATATTAAAGCATAACTAATATTTTTGATGAGCAATTATAAGCAGCCACAGACTCCCCATTTCCACTCTTACACTCAGTGGATGCTCGACGTGAATCCATGACCACCTTGGTAATTACAGCATGGAATCCATGGAATCTATGGTTCTCTCTCCTTCATATCCATTTCTACTTCCTTTCACTTCAGTGAGCTGTATGTTAACGCTACATGCAATTATATATTAACTCATGTGGCCTCACTGAAAAAGGACATTGCTTAAGCTAGAAACAAATTTTGATGAGGAGTTTCAGAATGTCTCTTCTCAAATATACTGTACTTTTAAAGGTAATACTAATGTTGACTCTTCCCCTCACCCACCCCCATCCTAACTTTAGAAAGTATGGTATGTTATGTCAGTCTATTTATGTAAGTGATACTATTTAAGCATTTTTCCAAGGGATTTTACACATAAACTTGCAAAGAATATTCACAGTGACTAATCTTGTTTTAATTATCACTAGAGAAAATAGTATTCGTTGACACGACAAACTATTTTCAGATTTTCTTTTTTTAACTATAGCAGCTATCGTCCAAATGGCTTTGAGAAGAACAGCGTGCATTCACCATCTCATGCGCCCCTCTTACTAAGGGACTGCTAGTAATCCAGATAATATGGATGCATTACTCACATTTTGTAGCCATCAATTTTTCAAATGACTGGGCCCACTGTAACACTTCCTCCAAAGGAAAGCTTTGAAAAGAAAACAAATGGTGCTTGATTACACTGAAAATATTCTCAAAGCTTTGCTGAATGAAATAGAAACATCTTATCCTGAAAAATGTCCAAATCTAGTTTTGGTCTATATTTTATTTTTACTTTAAAAATTAAAAAAAATTATAATATGTGCTCATGAAATGATGTACAGAAACTATGGTAAGATAAGTATTAAAATATAAAAAAACACAGTCCTAAAATCCCATTTCTAAATTACCATTATTAATATTTTGATTTATTCCCTTTTAGTCTTACTGTAGTACATGTTTTTATGGACAAGACGTAATTATGCTATATGTGTGATGAGACACACATATTTCCTTGCTATATGCATTTTATATGCCATTATAGTCAATCATATTAATAATTATTTATTGTCTTATAATTTGCATTATAATTTAAAATCATTTTTCACCACTATAATTTAAAGTATTTACGGTCATTACCCTGGGCAAATCCCACTGTGAAATACCTCCTACAGTGTTAAGGAGAAAAGATGTCAATTTGAGGACCAAGGACCCCAAACATGGTGTTTCCTATCTTCTCATATTCATGAACAATGAATAAGGAAGACCAAAGAAAAGAAATGATACGTTTTAGTTAGGGTTTCACAAAAGAATATTGAGATTACAATGATACTGTCAGACAAAAACATATTTCTTGGAGGAAGGACAACCAGTGTTCCTTAGAAGCAAGGCTGGCAAGGCTTTGTTTGACTTACTCTGGGCATAGGATTCGGGGAGAGCTGTCCCTGGAGAAGGATGGGACCCTTGGTAAAGTAAAGGTCAGCAAAAATGGGAAAGACACTCAGCACGGCTTACTGACACAGGGGCTACAACAAGAGGCTACCGCTTAGTGATTGTGAGGCTGGCAGGGTTTTCTTCTGTTGCACATGGGGCCACACTGAGTCAGAGCGGACCGGGCAGCACCTCACAAAAAAAACATCAAATACTCTACACGAGAATGTACCATATTTGACAGGATATTCTTTTAAAAATTAATTTATTTCATGAAACCTTTTGTGCATGTGAATTGGGTGATTAAATTTACAGAGCTCATTTTCAGTTTTTCACGAAACAATTCAGATACATTTTGTTTCGTCTTGTTTCAGACATAATTATTCTGAATTATTGTTTTGCTATTTTGACTATTTCTCATTTTTGACTATTAAAACTAAGTGTAGTTGAGAGTGCTGATAAAGGCTTGCTATGCCCACATAATTGGGCTATTTCCACAAGAGATTAGTAGACATGGAATCAAAGTGGGTCAAAGAAAATGCACATTTTTAAGATTCTTGATACAAATGGCTGAATTGCTCTGAAGGGGCTTATTCTTGTGTACTGTAGTAATGTATTTGTTCATTTATCTAGTTGGATCTTGGAGTTTATCCACAAAATTTACTTTAATGCACTCATATGATTAAGCTACTAATAATATATGTATTATGCAAATTTTTCAGTCTATTATTTACCATTTAGAAAGCATCTATGAAAAATGCTGGCTTTGAAACGTCTTTTCTGTTGTTTCTTGGGCTTCATGAGGTGAATTAGCAAGTGATTATATATTCTTACATACATGTATTCTTTATAAATATATATTCTCATGTAATTTTTTTATATTCTAGCTTAAAAACAATCTCTCTTCATTGTAATTTGGTTTATGACTTATTCATAATTTTTCTGTCTTCAAAAACTACATATAATCAAAGATAGCTATGGTTTATGCTATAGTTATAATTTTTCTGTCTTCAAAAACTACATATAATCAAAGACAGCTATAGATATAAGCCCTACCTATGGGTTACTGCAATAATTAAAGTTTGAAGAACAGTCATCAGCATTAGAAGGTTCTCAGCACAAACAAAAAAAAGATTAGCTAGAGGCTACAAGCTAGTGTAGAACATGGGAAAATACCTGGAGTCTTGAAAAGGTCAACAACTATCTTTTTTTTTCCTCCCTGAAAATTCAGTTGGATCCTGACAATTTTAGATGGATTGTTTGCATCAGTACTAAGGCTTAACAGTGCACTGCTGTTTAGATTGCTTTCAAAAAACATTTCCATGAAATCGTATCTGACTCACTGTTCTTTTCTCTTATTAGAACTTTAAAAACAGAACCTTAAATTAACCTTTTCAATGCAGTGAAACAGAAAGTTGGGTAACATATGCAAAGGTAAGTAAAAAGGTATTGCTTCAAAATCATAGAAACTTTTAATGAACAAAAATACCAAAATATGAAGCTATTGATTCTCAACATAGCTTACATCTAGATCTATACACTTCTGAGGGCAGTGTTTCCATTTTAAAATCTTTTCTACACTACATCATAATGGCATCATTGAGAGACTCAAATTATGTTCCCTTTAAATATTCTTGAGTTTGAGGGATAAACAGAAGGCTAAAGGGACAATATCAGGACTGTGGAGTTGATGGACTTAAGTTTCCCAGTGAAATCCTAATTGGATAGGCTTTGTATCCTTAAAGATGAGCAGATGCATTGCTGAGATTGGGGGGAAAACCTCGGTGAAATTTTCCTGGCTGTTTCCTCACCAATGTAGTTTCCAGTTTTACCCCAAACAGTCAGCATAACCCATTGAGTGATCCTTTCTGTCTTGAGCTTAACTGTCTCAGCAGATCTCCTCAGAAGGCATTATTTTAATCAAATCTTTTAGGCATCCAAACAAGACTAAGGAAAGTGTATTATTGAGTGAACTTGTTTAGAACCATCCACTGATTGAAGAGGCATATTTAACCACATTTTTATCTGAAACAAATTTTTATAAACCCGCGCATGAATGAATTAAAAACCCAGTAGCAATACTTTTTGACCTAGTCTCATTTTGTCTACTGTCCAATCTACCCACTTCCAAGACACAGTAAGGATAAAAGCTTCAGCACGGATGGAGATGTCATCTCTGTCTTGGATTATATTAGAGATTCAAACAAGGTGCCCCAGTCAATTCTGACTCATTGTTACTTCACGTGTGTAAGAGTAGAACCATTTGTTAGAGATTCAAACAAGGTGCCCCAGTCAATTCTGACTCATTGGTACTTCACGTGTGTAAGAGTAGAACCATTTGTTAGAGATTCAAACAAGGTGCCCCAGTCAATTCTGACTCATTGGTACTTCACGTGTGTAAGAGTAGAACCATTCTCCACAACAGTTCTCCATATCATTAATCATTTTTCAGAAAAAGGAAGATCTGTTTCTTCTTTCTTTAAAAAAAAATCATTTTATTGGGGGATCTTACAACTCTTTTAACATTCCACACATCAATTGTATCGAGCACATTTGTACATATGCTGCCATCAACATATTTTCTAAACCTTTACATTCTGTTTGAGCCCTTGGTATCAGCTCCTTTTTTAACCCTCCCTTACCCCCTCCCACCCTCATGACCACTTAGTAAATTATAAATTATTATTATTTTCGTATCTTACACCAACCGCTATCTCCCTTCCACATTGGTTTCTGTTGTTTGTACCCCTTGGTGAAGGTGTGTGTGGTTATATATCGATCCTTGCGATAGCTCCCCCTTCATCCTACCCTCCTGGTATCACTACTCCCATTTCTGTTCCTGAGGAGTCTATCTGACCTCAATTCCATTTGCTGTGAGCGCTTATTTGTACCAGTGTACATGCTCCGGTCTAGCAGAACTGAAAGACAGGACTGGGGTCATGATAGTGGGGAGTGAGAAAGCCTCAAAGAACCAGAGGAATATTGTGTGTTTCATCAGTGCTACAATGGACCCTGGTGACTCATCCCTTCCTTGTGACCCTTCTGTGAAGGGATGTCCTATTGTCTACAGATGGGTTTTGGGTCTCTGCTCTAACCCCCCTCTTTCTCAACAATATTTTGTTGTTGTTCTTGTTTTGGGTCTTCTGGTGCCTGTTACCGGATTCCATCAACACCTCATGATGCCACAGGCAGGTGTGCTTCCTCCATGTGGGCTTGTTGCTTCTCTGCTAGAGGGCTGCTGGTTTAACTTCAAGCCTTTAAGACCACAAACACTATACATTTTGATAGCCAGACACCATCAGCTTTCTTCACTACCTTTGCTTATGTGCCCATTTTGTCTCCAGCGATTGTGTCTGGGGGGTGAGTATCACAGAATGCCAGGTTGTTAGAACAGTGTTCTTGCATTGAGGGAGGGCTTGAGCAGATGCCCAAAGTCTGTTCACTTCCTCTGTGTATTGCCAAATAAATATATGTACATAGGCCAAAATCTTTATTTTTATGAATTAATATATTTACATAAGTGCATACCTATGTTTATACCTCTATCTATAGCTTTGCTTCCTAGATCTTTCCTTTGTTTCCTTTTACCTTCCTTCTGCCCCACCATCAAGCTCGCCCTTCTTCTGCCTCTTCCTAATTTCCCTCAGCTAGATTGCTGTTGTTCCAACAGCACTGGACTCTCTACGTCCTTTTCGTTGTTGCTTTTAATTCCCTAGTTATTCCCTGTTTATGGTGTTCGCTCACTGCTCCTTTCCCCAGCCTCCTCCTCCCCGCAGGTCCCTCTGAAAACTTTGGTCCCACTGCTTTCTCCTCGGGCTTGCTTCCCCTGCCTGTCTTAGATCGGTAGGGAAGAGACTTTTTTTTTTCTGAGTTGCAACTGGATGGACATGAACCTCCAATCATTCAGTTAGAAACTGAAATTGTTAGTCATTCATACTTCCTGGGGACTTAAAAGAAAAATTAAATTCTTCCCCGAAAATGAAAGCCCTGTCATTGAGTTGATTCCGACTCATAGTGACTGTACAGCACAGGGTAGAACTGCACCTGTGGGTTTCTGAGGCTCTAAGTCTTTCTGGGAGTAAAACATTTTATTCCCCTGTGGAGTGGTTGGCAATTTAACACTGCTGATGTTTCGGTAGTGGTCCAGCTGTTTTGGTTAATAGCCCAACACATAACCCCACTCTGCCACCAGGGATCCCTATTTGGTGTTGGTAATTATTGGTAAGAGAGTTCCTTTGCCTCTAAAATTTGTGAGATTTGTGCAGATACATCATAACTGGAATTATGATTGGAGGTAAAGTTGTAAACTGCAATGTGTTTCTTGGCTTAACCCTATTTTTCCTTTTTTTAAAAAAATCACTTTATTAGGGGCTCATACAACTCTTATCACAATCCATACACAAGCCTATTTTTCCTTGTAATAGTCTATGTTCCTTGGGGTTTCTGAGACTCCATTTTCCTGTGATGGAGGAGCTGGTGGGTTTGAACTGTCAGCCTTGAGGTTAGCAGCCCAAAGGGTAACCCGCTGCTTCTACAAAGACCCTTGAGTTCATGTTGCTGCTGGACTATATACCCATTTAATAATCATCCTAACGCCTTTGTCTCTCCAGTCAACTAAATTTCCAGATAATGATGCTCACTTTTGTGTTTCTTGCTTTCTCTGGATGGTGGGTGGTGGATAGAACCTGACATGAGAGTGCTTTAGAATGTCATGACTTACAGAGAGAAGAACGAAGAACATGTGTGATCAGACACTCCTGGGTTTTAATCACAGTGTTGTACTTACTAACTTTCTGTGTTAATTAAAACCTCCACACCCCAGTTTAATTAGCTATAAAAGGGATGACACTGTCTCTCTCACAGTTATGCAGACTAAATCAGGTAGTGAGTGTGATATATCTATCAAGCGACTATTAGGGCAGCATGTCTTGAATGGGAATTCATTGCTTTTTTTCCTTCCTTCTTCCCTGTTGGTGGTTCTACGAGGTAGGTAACTTCTAATATAAACCATGCCTAAATCAATCTGCTACGTCTTTCTCCTTGACAACTGGGCCATTTCGCAACCTCAAGTGGGTAGTATGAAACCCTGAACTTTGAGACTTATGTTCTCCTGCCACTCTCCTCTCTCCACCCAGTATCTTGTAAGGCATTCCCTATTCCAAGGCTGGAATATGCATGTCAGCAACTCTGACTATAGGAGACAGATGTGGCCAGAGATGGACGTTTTCACCCATTGCTCTCAAGTTATGTGATTCATTGTGTCTAAGACAGAATAGAATTGCTTCATTGAGTTTCCAAGGCTGCAAACATTCATGAAAGCAGACGATCACATCTTTCCTCTGTGGATTACAGGTGGGTTTTCTGGAGGCCGGTAGTGTGCAGCTGTACCACCAGGGCCCCTCTGGACCAGGTTAGGGACTCATCATGAACCTTTAGGTGATCTCACTCTAGAAATGGTTTAAGATGAACAAGTCTAATGAAAAAGTTTGTTACTTTTTGGAAAGCATTTTAGTAGTCATTGACCCCCTCTGAAGGAGCCCTGGCAGTGTTAAGCACTGAGCTCCTGATGACAAGATAATCTCATTGAAATGGTTACATTTCTACCTATGTCAGGATATTGAAGCAATTTGAGAATGTGGTAAGCATTTGTTTATACCTCCAATTTCAAAGCCTCCATCTAATGATAAATGATTCTAGCACCTTATATGTCAAGGGTTTGAACCATAAACACACAAGTGTTATAATAATATATACATTTTTAACCGAAGGATTTTCATTTGTAATAAAACTCTTTAAAGTCATTTAACTTACTGAGTTCTCAAGTAGAAGACATGCATAACAAAAACTGAGATCATAAATGAAAAATCACAAGCCCGAATAGTGAGGGTTCAAGTGATTTGAATTTTTAAAAGTTGTTCTGGAATCTTATCACTCATGATACATAACTACTTCCCTGGTCAAAATCATCATGCAACTTATTTTTTTTCCTGAATGAAATATGTTAAAATAACAGTTAAATAAAAACACACCCACCTATCATGTGGTAAATATGCTTTACGATGACTGTATAAGGCAAGTGCTACTTACTTTGACACGTGACGCCTAGAATCGCCTCTGCACTTCTCACAAATCCAAGTCCACCTGTTCATTTTTTTCTGAAGAAATTCAGCATATACTTAGTAAAACCAGTCATTTCAAATAAGCGCACATTAGAATCAATTTTCAGAGAACATACAAAATTATAAATCATAAAAAATAAGGATAGGTTCTTGAAGTTAGTGGGATATAATCACTGACAGGAGAGGAGGGAAATCAAATGACTCATCTCATACATATTTTATAGAAAGATAGGCACTTTGAATTTCAAGTGACTTTAGAACTCATCTGGCCCACTGAGTCATCAAATCACAAGGTTCAAAATAATACAGATATCTGAAAAATCTTCCCATTTAAGGCCCTCTGACAGTGAATTTGCTAACTACCAAGGGTTTCCCTTTTTTGGATGCTTCTTATTTTTAGGAAAATCCCTGTATAGTGAACAGATGCTGCCTCCTTGCAGTTTTCTGTAATGTGAAAACAGCCACTTAAAAAGTAACTTTCAGTCAGAGTGAGTTCTAAGAGGAGTATTGCCTCCCTGGTTTTATATACTGTACACATTATAAAATATGATTCTTAAATCAGCCCAGGCACCTTTACATAACAATACATATCACAGAGGATTTGTACTCAGGACTTAAAAACATACTAAAGAAATCTAATTTCATTTAAAACAATTAAATCTACACTGTCCTGTAAAAGAAGAAAAAACTTTTAAACATACATATGAAGACATATACAATGAAATTTTAAGGATTAACGGTGAGCTTTTATATGAGTTTTTATTAATCCATTCAAAATATCTGTTGAACCCTTGATATTTGCCAAGTCTGTGCTAGATGCTCTTTATCTACGTAGTCCCTCTCTCCTTGCTCTCACTAGTAATTAAGCAAGCAATTAAGGTAGACGTGATTAGGGTTTTGATACCAGAAGTATACCCTGCCCTCTGCTATTGAGCCAAGTCTGACTCAAAGCGACTCTGTAGGACAGAGTTTAAAGGACCTCTTTGGGTCTTTGAGATTACAAATCTTTCTGAAGCTGAAAACGCCATCTTTCTCGTACAGAATAGGTGGTGAGTCTGAACTGCTGACCTGTGGTTAACAGCCCAACATGTGAGCTGCTACATTCCCAGAGCCCCTTACCAGAAGCATAGGGACCTGTGACTACATATACTAACTCAGCTTGGGGGTGGGATCCCAGGGAAGTGACAGTGGGGCTGGACCTCCACTATATGCTGAATGGAGTAGACAGGGCACTCGTAAAGGCCTAGGCAAGGAAATGAATGGCATTTCGTGGTTGTGGTTCAGTGTCATTTCATTGGTTCCCACCCATAGCGAATTTATACAACACAGAATGAAATGGCATCCTGCTCGTTTCTGCGCCGTCTTCGCAATTATTCCTACCCTTGTGCCTATTAAGCAGCTAGATTAGGGACAGAGGGGTTGTCTTCCCTAGCGCCTGCGCTAAGCGAAAAGTAACTGTCCATGCCACAAGACAGGGTTGGAAAGAAATCAGGCACACTAATTAGAGGGCTATGGGAAAGATCCAAACTGAGCAGGCTCAAACACAAGGCCCCGGGCCCTGGTGGGAGGTCCGCCTGGGCACAGACATCACTCAGGCATTTAAACGCAGCCAATAAGATCAGCTAGTACCTCCAACCATGCCTCCCCAACCAGAGGGCTTAAATGCACCTGCTGTAGGTCACCGGCTTTTTCTCTGTTCTCGCTCAGGTGCACGTTGCAGACAGAGGGTGGGAACCTCTCCGATGTTAGTGGCATGTAAGCACCTGCGGGCCCTCTGGGGTCCCACACCCTCTTTTGGCCTCCAGTGATTCCCCAGCTCGTAGGTGTGGGGTTCAGGTACCCGGTTCCTGTCCACTTTCCACTTGGTTTTTCACGCCCAGTTGCGAACCCCAGAGCGGTTTCGGCACCAATCGCATGTACCCTTTTGAGAATGTAATACTTGAAGCTTACTCTTTCTTTTATAAAAACTCGCGTGGATAACAAAAGTGCTTCTCCTGCCTGAATTCTTTCAGCGCCGCGAAGCAAAGAACCGAGGTAACTCAATCCAGAAAAGTAACATGCCCATTGTTACCGCCACAGTGTCAATCCATCCTCTCTCACTGACCCTCTACTTGACTAAACGTGACGTCCTTCTCCAGGGACCGGTCTCTGCTGACATGTCCAAAGTTAGTTAAGGAGTGAGAACGTGGCAGAGAGAGAGCTCAGGGAAACGGCTAAAGCGTTCATATTAGGTCAATATTCATGTCTACAAATGCTCATTGTAGCATTGTTTACAAGAAAAAGTGAAGACAATGTAATTTTCATCAATCGAAAATCAGACAAAAGTAATATACATTTATAATAGCATGCCAATTAAGAGAGTCGAACGGGACACTTAATTGTGCTCATGTGGAATCCATAGGTCAATCATGAGCCAGTCATTTAAATAAAATAAGGGGATATTTCCTGGTTTAAGATCGACGAAAGGTGTGTATCAGAGTTGTATCCTTTCACCATAATTATTCAATCTGTGTGCTGAGCAAGTAATTCAGGAAGCTAGACAATATGAGAAAAATGCAGCATTAAGATCAGAGGAAGACTCATGAACAACTTGTAGTATGCAGATAAGACAGCTTGGCTTGCTGAAAGCAAGGGGGACTTAAAGCACTCACTGATGAAGACTACAGCAATATGAAACAAACGTATAAAATAAACTCACTGCTACTGAGTTGATGCCAACTCGTTGTGACCCTATAAACGGGGCCTAAGGGTGCCCCTGAAGAGTTTTGAGACTATAACACTTATGGGAGTAGAAAGCCCGATCTTTCTCCCACAGAGAGCCAATGGTTTAATGGGGGAATTATATGATTGCATCTATGTTTTAGAAAAGTAATGTGGAAGCCATTTGGAGATGGACAAATTTAGGATTTTTCACAAAAGTTTTGGCAAGAAAAGATGGCGGCTTGAGCAGAATAATGCCAATATAGACAGAAAGGCGGGGGGCTTTAAAGAGAGTAGGATGCAGAATGGACAAGATTAAATGCCTAAAATTGGCACAGAGGAGAGGAACCAGCAAGGAATAATAACTATGTAGCACGTACAACCGGATAATTGGTGCTACCACCCACCTACATTCAAACACAGAAGGGAAACTGAAATTTTGGTGGACTCTGAGATTGAAGTATATAAATTAAAATTATCGCTAATAAATCATGGTAACCTTTATTAAACAAAAATATCAAAGCGTGAACCTATACGTTTATCGATATATCCTCCATATAGGTGTATACATTTTTTAAAGTACTGAGTGCCTCTCTAATCATTCCCCGAATAATTCTGTACTCTTTAATGTGTAACCTTTCACAACTGCAGTCTTATAGACTTGAGAGACGCAAATCATGTGCTTTAACATTCTCCTTGAGATTTTGAGAATAAAAGACAGAAATCTGAAGCGACAAGATAATAGTCATATGTTGGATGATGTGACGCTTCCTTCAGCAAACTCACAGGATGGCCCTTGCTATCCCTGAAGAATGTAGGTGCATTGTTGTGAAGAAAAACAAAATACCTAGGTGCAAGTTTGTCGGCCATTTTCTCACCACTGTAATTTTCAATTTTCGGTAAACTGCTTTGTAAGAAGCCCCTTGATTGTCCTATGTCCTTTGAGAAAATCTATTGAAATTACCCCTTTGTAATATCCAAAACCAGTTGCTATATCTTCTAAACTGACCTCTCTACCTTGAATTTCATTGGTCCAGGAGATCCTCATAGAAGCCACTGTTTTGATTAAACCTCTTTTTTTCTTTAAAGGGGCAACCCAGTTAAACTAAGATGTGTGCATGGTTGAAAAGACCTTCCTGTGGCCATCCACTAACTTCCCTTGTAGAACAACAACACAGGTGCCTGGCGGAGAGCGGTATGATATACACATACTGCTTAAAGATTTGCCCAGAGTCAAATAGTTACCATGTATTGTTGTAGACAATAAGGATACATTGCCTACCTGAAAGGCAGGCAACATCCTTGAAAAGGTTTCTGCTTTCCTTGATCTTAATAGTGTAATGAAGAAAGTTTTACAATAAGCAAATAAATAAATAGGATCTATTCAATGAATGATAAATTCTAAGGGAAATGAAGTAACAACGTGGAATAATGAGATGAAGACTACTTAAATGATGGAGCCAGGAAACTGTGCTGACCCCTGATCAGGAGGATCGTTTAAAGAGTTGGGGAGGAGTGCTTTTAGACAGAGGGGGCAAATGGCAAGGAATAGATTCAGAAACAACTCGGATGCGTTTGAGGAAATTAGAGAAGGCCAATAAGTCTCAGTAAATAAGGGAGAGGGTAGAGGAGAATAAGTCTTAAACGCAGGCCGAGGGCAAGCATGTTCGGGTTTAGAGGTCATGGATTTCATATGAATGCACTGGACGACCTGTGAAAGATTTCAAATAGAAAACGGACATGTTGATATTTGACTCTATGCTTTTGTTGAGTAGAATGGATTGCAATGTAGCAAGAGTAGAGTTAAGGTAGCCCCTTAGAAGGTGAGTGCAGGAAACCAGGCACCTAATCTAAGAGTATTGATTAAAAAGATGGATGTGGAGATGAATGGAACTGGACATATTTTAGATATTTTGAAGGAAATGATCAGAGCTAATTCCCTCCTTCTTTTTTCTCCCTCCCATCCTCCCTCCTTTCTTCTCCACTCTCCTTTCTTCCACTCTCCCCCTCATCCTTTCTTTCTATCTCTGTCAATCTTTCTTAATATGGTACAAGCTGATGACAGAATGATGGACTAGAGAGAGAATCAGGACGCCGCCCTTTGACTCTTCTGGCGTGAACATCTCTAGGGGGCCTTGCTCTTTAAGCTTACAATGCGAATGAGATACCTAGAAGTTGGCAAATAGTGGAAATGAAAAAATGGAGCAGCGATTGCTGATGAGAAGTGGGGAAGGCATGGAAAACCAATTATATGTAGAATGAGGTTCTGAAAAATATTCAGGTGATGGAATTCAGAATGTAAGGGGCATTGGTGAAACAGGAGTACATGAAGAAGCTATTTTCCTCATCTTTGAAAGGAACAGGGAAAATACACGTGTTCATGTAAGTTAATTTGCATGTTTAGGAATAAGAACTTTATGGTAATTCTGGT